TAACAGTAATAATAATTTGTAATAATAGTAATAATCACAATAAAGTAAATGCTTACTTCATCTGCATGAACTGATATGCGAAGTTCTTGTTTAGGACATAACTTTTCCAACAAAGTAGCAACCGTTTGATATACAACAGCTGACTGCTGACAAGCTGAACAATCAAGAAATTCATCTAGTTCTGGATTATCACAGTTGTGCTTGCATCTACTATATGGCTTATGTAAAATAATTGCGCAAGTCGAAAAAATCTTCTCTGCTACTGTATCCACATCCTGCTGGCACACATCATTTAATGCCATCTAAAATTATACTCGTCAAAAATTGCAAAATAATAATTAAGCTAAGACTATAAAGCATTATCAAATCTCTAATGACGTTTGTAAATTTTTAAAATATATTTAAAAAGTTTAAAATTAAAAAAAAACCCCGAGTAAAATCACAAACATCACTAGGACATCATGAGTGATGAGCAATTGCTCGGAAAACTGACATGACTCTGGTTTTCAAATTTTCTACTCTATAACTGTAGCAAGACTTGTGACTGCCACAACTTTATACAGAATACCAATATCACAAGTGAAAAGATAAGCCATTTTATGAAATAAATAATGATGAGTTATTTATCGGTAGAATACAGTCTAAGAATATTTAACTGATTTCTGTAACAAAAATTTTCTGAGCTATCTACTACATACATGTCTGAAGTGAAGTGACATAGTGCAGATTTATTTAATCACTTTGGTGATGTATTCCAAGAGTTATTATTCAATCATTGAGAATAACTGATAAAACAACCTGATGAGCAATAATATCAATCATAGCAACGTGAAATGCTACGTGTTCTTCTTCCAAGTCATTTTCATTATTCTCTTTCAATTCCATTTGTGATAATCGTGTCGCGCATGAAGAAAATGTATCCAATAAAATTGAAAATGGTATTGAAATTTCCATCATTGATAATGTCTAGAATTAGTTCAAAAAATATATCCATGCGTTTAAAAACATAATTTAGAGTAAGTAAATTATAAACTTTTCTGTAAAAACTGTCGGAAACGAAAAAACTTTTTGAGATTCTGAATCTTTCAAACTTTTTTGCTTTCATATTTAAATATCAAATTGATTGTATAAGTTTATGAAAGAATTTAACAGATTAATTTTATAGTCTTAAATTAGGCGATTTGCTTTTGTGAAAATAAAAACAAAAAACAAACATAGATCCAGTCGAGAGCATTTGAAATATCCATTTCATTACCGTTAGTCAAACGATCTATGATAAACTGATAGAGTTGATCACTGTTGAAAGGTAAAGGACAAAGGTCAGGTTCAAATATTTTACTGCAAAAAAACTTCAACTTATAAGATTAACAAAATGCTCAGCAGATCAAATTTTTAACAGTCAATTTAGTAAACTAAACTATCACTTCTAAAGTTGTATAATAAACTAAAAAATAAATAAAAACCTAAGAAGTATTTTGAATTCGGAAAAATCATCATCCTTAATCAATTCACAAATACTTTGCATCCAGTGTGGTATCAGTCGATTCCACGTATTCAACGTGATTATATCATACGGCATTATAGCTAGTAATTTGTTAAGTCCTTCACGCATTTGATCTTTTTTTGTCGAAAGTTTGTCCCAAACACCACCAACCTGAATTATTTCGCATATTATACGAAAATAGTTTCAACTAATATTAGTATATATTAAGAACCATATAAAATTTTACGTTTTCTTAACGACTACAGAACTTTATTTGAAGTATTACTCAAATCAAATCATTTGTGAACATTCATGAGAATCAGAATTCATTAGCTTATGTAGGAATATTTACTGAAGGTACGTGAATAAAGCGGATCATAAGTGAACTAAATTCCATTTTTTTCGTTGCTAAATTAGATTAGGCAGACGGCAACGCTAATGTATTGTTCCAATTACAGAATAGTATAATGAAGCAACACTCTTACTTGAGCATATTCCGGTGGATTTGGCATTAAGGTTTCAATGAAATTTTGGTAATGATTTGAGACAGCGAGATTGATCCAATCAGATGCAAACTGTAGAAAAGTGATGGATAGGATGTAATAATATGTAATCAATGTATTACTATTACAAATTTATATTTACTTATTACGAAGTTAATTGAAAGTTATCTCATCTCATGTCGGTACAGAGAAAATATACAAAATTCTGAAATTACATCGGTTTTGAGTTGTTCTAACTCAGAGCCGATGGGATCATTGGGTAGAAGGGCGGTTGTTGCAAACCATTGGAATAACATTGACATCATATATGCAATTAGCTGCTGAAAAAATGCTTTGTAAAGTTATTGTACTTCAGCTATTGCCAATTAATGAACTTTATGATGATTATTAATTCATTATAATCTATTGATTTATGACAATACTATATTAAGAAGTTATTTTAATCAGTAATTTAACATTAAATTGATTGTATACTAAATTAATTGATTAGTTATATATGTATCTAATTAAACAAATTTATTTCTGAGTACAGAAATGTGAAATTTGATGGCAATTTTATAAGATGTTGATTTAAAATTTATGCAGATTTGTTATCATAGAAAATTAAGATTTAAAAAACCGGTCTAGCTTCGGGTACAGGTGCGCAAACAGCTGCTAGAAGCCAAACACCAAAACGACTCAACGCTCGACGTTCATCCGTCATTTTGTCGATTTCACGTCCAAGCGTATAGCCACCTTCTAACTGACGCAACCATTTTGGTCTTTTTCCTTCCGTTTCCAATCCTTTAACATTTTTATTGAAAAAATTATTGTACTATTTATTATGAATAACTTTTTGTAGAAATGTACAGGTTGAAATTTTGAAAATACTTTTCAATAAGTATTTATAAATATATAAATAAATTTTATGAATAAATTATATACGTTTCAGTACAGTATGAAATAGATTATAGCAGTTGACATTTTGTACAGGCACTTAGCGCCCTTAATTATAATTAAACGTAATTTTGATGTACATAGCTATTCAATACTTTCAAAAAAATAAATACAAAACAGACTAGTAATTTCGATAAACAATTCAAAAGCAATGTAAAACCTTCTATATTGGCCGACGTTTCTTTCAGAAGTTTTACAATGGCTTCAACAATGTCTCGCTCCAAATTTGTTCCCCAAGCAGATTCAATACCGCAATGCTTCATATGCTCTTTCTTGTTCATACTGTGCAATGCTATCAAACATTCCTAAATTTTATCATAAATATTTGCATAAATTTTAATTACCACTCTGATAATACTGATTACGTATGTAAGAATAATTATTTACTTTATTCAAAATTAGGATTTTCAGAAACAACTTCTAGTCTTGAATTTAATTTAGTTTAAAGTTGTTTACAAGAATGAATAGCTCCTATTGTTTATTTACAAATAAACAATATAAGTTGAAGTATTTGATAGCAATAAATTTTCAGTATTATTTGAATTATAAAAAGTTTTCAGTAATTTCAAGAGATACTTCTGAAGCAATATTGTTGCAGAGAGTGCTTAAACTTAATAACAGTTTACTTCAAATGCTAATTATCAATTTGATCAACCCTAAAACAAAGCATTATCAATATTTTGTGAGATCAGTAAGAAATGGTACTTGACAAAGTCGTAAAGGGATATATTGATGAGAACGAATGCAATCCTCAGAAAAACATATTCCCAAAGCAAGGCGATTTGACGATTCGCATCCCTGAAGACGTAATTAAGTAATGATGGAAAATTCATTTCACATATTCAACGTTTATTTTAATTCAATGATTACTTTACTAAAAATACATTTTATTTCATTACAAAACCTTATTCTGGCAGATAAGATTGCTCGAAGTACTCATTGGCATGCAAATTGGTTTCGTTTCAGATTTTTTTTCATCTTCTACCATTTCAGCACATTTTTTGCACAATAATATTGGTGGCGCTGTTTCGCCTAACTTTATTGAAATAACTGGATTGAAACAGTACCGAACACTGTAATTTGTTGGCATCAAATATTGTTTACAAATGTATAATTTATAATTTTGAAATTTAATCATTTCAAGTTTGGAAATATTCCAAAATAAAATACTATCAAAATCGCTAAAGTTGACATTCATTACAAACTTGCAATAATTAATTCAAAATTAAATTATGCAAAATTGAATACTTTTACTGTACATAAAATTATAATTAATAATGAATAAACGATAAAAGCGTCAATTTCTACCTTAGTTCTTTGTCAGTGCACTTCAAATTTTGGCATGGAATAGAAGTCCAAGCTATAATGTTATTATTATTAATCATTTTAAAAACATCACAACAAAAGTTATTGAATGGACCAAATTATCTCAGTATATTATATTGTTTTAATAATTATTCCTAAACACTTCAAATAATTATTTATCTCATTATTCAAATTCTAGAAAATCATTTTAGGCTCTTAAATAGTATTTTACGAGAGTAAATATTTAAGACGATGTACGAAAGAATACACTGATTCCACCTTGCACACGATACTGAATTGTTTTTCGATGTAAAATGTGTGGATTCAGAATAGGCCAATAATGAAATAAAAGATTCGCTGCGGCTATCCGTGCTTCACTAGTACCCTTTGACAGCACTAATATCAAGTCCTTTAAAGTATAAAAACGAATAAATATCTTATAAAAATTGTATGAAATGAACTTTTTGCACTATAATCTTTATCCCTTTTGCAAATAACTAATATAGTAATATCAATTTTATCTTTATATATTTTTATAGCTATTTTTATAGCTTTTATTTAAGTATATTGTAGTATTTAAGTATTTGAATAAAAGCTATAAAAATTATATCAAAATATTTTTCTCTGTAACATTTACTGCATTAATTAATCCAGTGTCCTTTGATTTCAAATTACATCTCAAACTATAAATAAGAATTAATTTTGCACATAAAAACGAATAATAAAATTTAAGTAAATACTTTGTAATATATAGGCAAATATTTTTTCAATGATATATTTTACGCAACAAATAAAAATAAATTCATAATTTGTAGAAAAACTATAAAATTATGAGTAAAAATTACTCTAAACACATCTTCTTTCTGAGCCAGCAAATTTTCAACAAAAAGTGTATGCAAGCCTGAAAAAAAGTACTGTGATAATCAGATTATTTGTCTATCTTTTAACACAACTTGCCATTTTAAAAGTTATGTATTTAAATTCTGGGAAAACTACAAAGTTGCAAACAAGAAATGATTGATTCCCTCTCGAAGTTATATTTTGCTATAATTTTAAATTTTACTACCTTTATAAGGTTCTTAACTTACAGTACTTTATTATTTACAGTACACTAAGCTTTATTATTTTGTAAGAAATCATTTCATTTGCATATTTTTTCAATTTTGCGCTTAAAAATTACTTGCAGTAAATATTGTTTGAAATGTTTGGATAATTTTTTAAATTATAAATATGCATATTTATCAGTGTACTTCCCTATCTATCTAAGCATTTATCAGTCATTTAGAAAGTATTGTCTCACTGATTCCTATCCTTTCATTGTAATAGTAAATTTGAGCTAATTAAATAGATTTAGTCTAAAGTGCTTTCCGTGCAATATGTAAGTAAAATGTCTAAGCCATAATTGTTTTATGTATTCTTCTTTAGACATTTAAGAGTTTTAGTTGAGCAAAATAACATGTAAAACGCTCAATCGAATGATTGTAAACTGAGACAAATATTGGCTTGTTTTGGATGCTTAATTAAAAAGCTTTTGCATTTGATACTTTTGAGTCTTTTTCTGAGCACACAAAATCGCATCAAGTTTAGCTCCAAGACAGTTAGCTAGTTAGTTCAATGCATAATTAGATGTTAGATTCAATCTGCACTAATTCTAGCACATTTTTTGCTCTCTTCAGCACAATTCAATACGTAAATGCTAAAATTTAAACTATGCACTAAAAAAAGCAATACAAAATCAGTCTTTCAATTTTTGAATTTATAAAAATAACTGCTAAATTAATGCAACTGTGTTTGATATTAATAGCTATTGATATGATAGAATAGCTTTTATCACTTTTGTTTTTACTGAAAAATATTACTGATGTTTTTCAATATTAATAATATTATCGTATTTTAAGAACTAAGTGCAGTTGTGTTCAACAGTTGTTGACAACATTTAATATTAGCATAATTATTACTATAGTTATCATGATATCATTATGAATTATGAATTATTATGATTGCTATTCAATGATATTATCATTACTAGTGTCACCATTCCAGTAGTACTAAAAGTCTTCTGCTCGGTTTATCAAGTATGCTTTTATTAATAAATTATTCAGCAAAACTTCCATTAATTACTAATGACTGAATGACAGATATTTACGCATAATCATTTCTGATATAATTAATTATTTTTTTGCCTAATAATTTCTAAACTAATATTAACAGAAATGCTCTCAAAATATTAAATTTAGTAACAAATTTGCTTATAAAACGTCTAATCAAACGCTATTAAGCTTTCAGACGTGCACAGT